CACCGAGTGTTTCCATACTTACTACTACGATATGTATAATTGTTCCAATGATTTTGTTGAAATTTGTTTTTATTTAGATCACCGTGAGAAGAATGTTTGTTATTTGTTTTTGTTACGATTGGTAAGTACAGAGACCTCCCTATTTCAGCCGCATTCCACCTTGGGATAGAGAAGGGGCGCGTTGGACGAGTTTCACGAACCTAACTCTAGTTGCTCCAGTGCCAATGACATTGGATCGCAATGGGACCGCTGCCTCAAATGCGCCCGCGCTTTTCAAGCAGCGCCACGTGGCAACCGACAGCGGAGGGTGGGGCTTGCGGACGAAGGTGTGAGTTGCGGGTCGAGCGAGCTTTGTTGCGCACTTTCAAGCGGCAAAAGGGGCGCGACATCAACGCTTGTCCGCCTGTCCACTACCCCCGGGATGGAACAGAAGAGCGCACCCAATCCCAGAGCGTGCCCTTTAAGCTAGAAGTGGGAGGTGGCCTGAAAGAGAGAAGGAAAGCAACCGACGACGACGCAGCAAGACGACCGCGCGCTCTAAACGTGTCTGCCGTACGAGAAAGCGCGCTCGTTCCTCGACATGCGGCTATGGCCCGCCGGCGGGCCATACGGTCTCACAAGACAACATTTTTCACTTCACTTCCAACGACTAACACGAGGGAAGTTATACTTTCAACCACATAGGAACGCTATTCTAGTTCTGGAATGGAGAGATAGAGAACTTCTGATGATTTCAACGTCATATGATGGATAATGCGGTCCTTCGAATAAACCGGTCGCTGTTGAGGATTATAACAGACTAAAAGTATTTGTGGACTAAGACGATCAAATGTCTGCTTATTCGTCGTTTGTGCGTCGCACCACAAAGTGGTATATAAGAATTTTCTTCCAATTTGTTACACAAATAGCAGTTGTGGATTCATGGCGGCTGTGACACCATAGGAAATATTCGTCTTAACGATTTCAAGATGAGTCTTTTGGACTCTTCATTGCTGCAGAACAGTCTTAGCGAAAATTCATCGTTAAAAGGGACCCACAAGTTGGAAATAGCAGACGACAGTTCGAAGGAGAAGCGAAGAAGATGCGCTGGTTGCTACAAAGAACTGTGCGAAGTGAAGGGAAGGACTTGTGCTGTGAATCGTGCGAAGAAAGTTAACACTTGGTGTAGCAATTGCCACAAATATCATTGCACCGAGTGTTTCCATACTTACTACTACGATATGTATAATTGTTCCAATGATTTTGTTGAAATTTGTTTTTATTTA